CCAGGGACACACATAAGCCCACCTGGCCCACTCAGAGTCACAAACAGAGAGTGCCCGATGCACACAGACCGCTCTGCATTTAACTCAGACCTTCCCTTCTCCTTCTGAAACTGCGTAACAAGCATGCAAACATAAATCTTTGCAGAGAGGCCAATTTTTAATCTAAAAACCCAACTGTTTGGTATTTCGGTTCCTTCAAAGCAGAAGATGAAACGGAAAAGGAACCCTCCCCACTTTGCTTTCTAACAACAATATGATTGCTGCATAACAAAGAAAGCAAAACAGAGAAGTCTTTGAATTCTGTGCGGTTGGGTTAATAGAGTTCAGGGTTTGTTTGTTTTTTTTAAGCCATGAGCTTTATTTAATGAAGTATTAATCTCTGTGATATACGTGGCAAAAGCTGCAGGGGTGAGCAGGCAATAGGTTCTGACATACATTGCAATAAATCTGAGCAGTAAGTAATAGAACAGATGAGGGAACTACAGAAGCCCACACAAGTTTTTGGACAGTTTGATAATTAATTTAACTGTAATTTTATGAACTTTCGGTTGCAGCAAAATGTTGTCCAGAAGACACTTTGTTCACTAAACGCCATCCATCACCAGAATGGCGCTCTAACTTAGTAGCTTCGCATCTCTTGTTTAAGCTCAATATTAGACTGTGGGGCGTGAGGGCTCAGCTTGATGTCCTGCAGCCAAATGAGAGCTCACAAACCTCTGGAACTCCGGTTCTAGGTGCTCCAATGTCTTCTCTGGGCCTTCAAGGGTACTAGGCATGCATGTGGCACACAGACATACGTGCAGACAAAACATCTGTTCATGTTAAACAGAAATAAATTGTCTTTATCTGGGGAAGGGATGGGAATCTGAAGAAGACACCTAGCATCTACCCCTGGGCTTCCACACATACATGCACGCACACACGCAGGCACACATACACAAAAGAAAAAGAAATCAAGACACAGACCCAAGAATGAATGGATATGCAGACATTAACCAACTCATTTACATTCACTGATTTTAAAGGGAATTCAAACCAGGACAGAGACATGAAACATCTCTGAAAAGACAGAACGTTGAATAAGGTTTTCCTTCAGTTAAGTGTGGAAATTGAGTTGTTTAGAATACAGATACCTTAAAAATTGGAGATGAAAACCTCAAAAACTCAATTTTAATATAACAAATTATCGGAATAATTAACTATAAAATATAAATAGTCCATGGATATAAAAAGATTTTTAGGGAACGAAGAGATAGTTCAGTGGTCAAGAGCACGCTGCTCTTCCAGAGGACTGGGGTTCAATTCCCAGCACATGCAGGGTAGCTAACAACTGTCTGTAATACATTTCCAAGTGATCAGACACCTCACAAAGATATGCATGCAGGAGAAACACCACTGCGTATGAAATAAAAATAGATAAATTATCAAAAAAGAGATTTTTAAAGACGTGGGCTGGTCAGCAACAGGAGAAAACGACCTTGTTATGATTTATCCCGTGCTGGGACAGTGAGTGACAAAGTCTACATGAACAGTTAACTGGTGCTCCCTCAATAAACTTGTTCTCAAGAAGAGTTCACAATAGCTGTCAGGTTGGGCGTTTTGCAGCTGGAATTATAGTGTGGCCTCGATTTCCAGTCTCTGGCCCAGCAATGCCAACTGCCTCTCATTTCAATGTGGCTGTTAGAACAGTAATGGTTGTTTATCAAACGGAATTGAGCCAAAACCTATCTCACCTTTCTTAATTAACCTATATATCTTTTAACAACTTTAATTTTCTTTTACATGTATTTATTGTGTATATATTCTAAGGAGCTGAGGCTGGAAGACAGCCTGGGGCACTCAGTCCTTTCCTACCATTCTGGGTTCCAGGGACCAGATCTGGCAGTGAGTGCCTTTACCCACTGAGCTATCTCTGGCCCAAGACTCTTTAATAATGCCACGTTGAGGCTGGAGCAAAGGCTCAGCAGTGAAGAGCCCTCACGACTCCTGCACAGAACCAGGGTTCTGTCCCCAGCATCCACATGGGGCTTTGCAACCCTCCGTAATTCCAGTTCTAGGGATTCTGACGCCCTCTTCCAGGCTCCTTGGGTACTGTGCAGCATGGGATGTATACACACACACACACACACACACACACACACAGGCAATAAGCACAAACACATGAAATAAAAAATTAAAATACCACGCCTTACTATATGCCTTATCTGCCCTCATAAACATGAACTGAAAACGAGAAATAGTAGTTCAAATTAAGGATGTACAGTTAAATTGTTATTACTCAAAAAAAGCTGTTTTAAAACTCGTCAAGAAACATATATTACACACACACACACACACACACACATCCTAAAAGTAGTTTTCACTTGATTTACATGGTTTTGGGGTTCCATCTTTTAGCTGCGTCTAGATAGTGTTATTAACCGCTACACAGTGCTCACCTAAGTGCCCACAGGAAACTCCACATCTCTTTCCTGATAAAAGAAAAGTGCATGAGAAAATACAGCATGTTGTATATGCTTGCACTGAACATAAAGACCAAAATTTTGTTCAGTATTATTGCTGCACCATTAGCCATTTTCTAGGCTTAGTCCAAAACCAAAATTAAAGTGTTCTGTTCCTGTAAAGCGCGTGTTCCCTTTCCAAAAAGTCTGTGTGGATGATAGCACACACACGTGATGACAGAGGGGGGCAAGAAGACCAAACGTTCAAGGCCAGCCTGGGCTACATGATGAGAGCCTGTCTTGAAGAAGACAGAGGGGAGTGGGTAGATCCTGGCCGCCTACCCTGTGCTATTTCATTATTTCAGGAACTGGACCAAGGTGTTTTGAAAACAAAGCAAAACACAAATGTCCCCTCCAGTTTTGACGATGGAGACATCTTTTAAATACAGCCATCTGTAATGAGGTCTGGACAGAATATTGTATGCATAATAAATAAATAAATATTAAAAAATAAATAAAAAAATAAATTCATCTTTAAAGTCCTCCATCCCCACACTTCCTGACTTGGGTTTACTAGACATAATATAAGGACTTTCTTTCCCCAGCTCCTGGAAATGCCCTTCAGGTCAGAGTCTGGGATGCAGCTTTTGACTAACAATGAAGTCCACTCCTACTTCCTTCAGACCTGGCAACCAGAGAATCCTCACGACTGAGGAACCGCTGCCCTGCAAGGGGAAGCTTGCTTCACCAGAAGTCTCGCTCCAACGGAAAGAGCCTTGAAACACTGATAGAGCCAGGGTTAGGGTCGGTGCGTTCAGAGATAATCTTCCCCCAGAAAGAAAATCTCCAAGCAAGAAAAAAGAGTTTGAAACAAGAAATAAAAATCGGAATCCTACTAAGACAACTGCTTTCTCCAGTTAACAGACTTTTTGAGTTCCCTTCGCACTGTTCTCAGGTCTTATCAAAGCAAGGGCTTGTGTCTGTCCCCCATGTCGGAAAAGGTCATAGTCTCATTACAAAGAGTTTGTACACCAAGCCTTCTTTCCCGATAGGAGTGCTGGCACAGAATCTTAACCTCAGCACTCGGGAAGCAGAGACAGGCAGATTTCTGTGAGTCCGATGCCAAGCTGGTCTACACAGTGAGTTTCAGGCCAGCCAGAGCCATAGTGAACTCCTGTTTTAAAAGGAATAAAATTTAAGCTCCTTTCTCTAAAAATGAACCCTGAAAACACACCTCACAGCCTTCATCCAACCTTCCTCAAGAAGCCCCAGGCAAGACCTTAGTGGTGTTTAAACAGCAATAGACTTAGAACTGTGCCCTCAAGAAACCAGTTTTCCCACAAAGGTGAATCTGCCTCAAGCGAATTTCTCAGCCCCTGGCTGGGCTGTGTAAAAGAATACCTTACACGGATGTAAGAATCACGCTGATACTCTGTCCCTTAAACAGAGTGCCGTGTAAGGGAACGGAGAAGAATGGAGCTGTTTTCTCTTTATTTTCTGGGGATGATTCACAAAAATATGTGTGGCGTTTTGAAATAGTCTTCCCTCCTATCCCACCCACATATGCCCTTCCCTGCTGGGTCTGTAAGTGTGGGAGCTGGGGTTCGAGCATCCACCCCTGATGGACGCTCTGCTCTGGAATATTACAGGGAAACTGAGCTCCAGGGTCTGAGCACACTTTCCAAGATGGGAGCTCTGTGGTATTATACAGAGAATCGGGGCTCCACTCTAGTTCCCTGACAGGAGTCCGGTGTGGTGGAGATTGTGGGGTGTGGGGTTCCACACTTCCCTGGCTGGAGTTCTGTGGTGTCGTGGTGTGGTGGGGAGGGGAGTCTGGGGTGTGAGCTGGGCACACACTTCCCTGGCTGAGTCTGTGGCGTGGCAGGGCCAGGGTGTAAGACTGCACACATCTCTGACTCGAGTTCTGAGGTGTTTGGGTCCCAGCACGCTGCCCTGACTGGAGTCTGTGGTGGGGAGGGTAGACCGGGTGTGAGCTGGGAGCCCACTTCCGTGAGTGGAGTCTGTGGTGGGAGTCCCTGGGTAGGAGCTCGGATCACCCTTTCCTGACTGAACTCTGCTGGGTGTGAGCTGGGGGCACCCTACCCTGACTGGAGTCTGTGGATGAGAATCTGGGTGTGAGCTGGGAGCACACAGCCCTGACTGGAGTCTGTGGGTGAGAGTCTGGATGTGCGCTGGGAGCACCTTACCTAGACTGGAGTCTGTGGTGTGCAGGGGGAGCCCGGGTGTAAGCACATTTTCCCGACTGGAGTCTGTGGATGCGAGTCTGGGTGTGAGCTGGGAGCACATTGCCCTGACCGGAGACTGTGGTGTGCAGGGGGAGCCCGGGTGTGAGCACATTTTCCCGACTGGAGTCTGTGGTGGGGAGTCCCAGAGTGTGAGCTTGGAGCACACCGCCCTGACCGGAGTTCTGGGCTGTGGGGAGGCGGGGGGGGGGGGGCCCGAAGCTCCAGACGAGTCCCTTCCTGTCACCCCAAGGCTGCCCCCCACTCCCCGAAGTGGGGGTCCCTGGGTCGCGGGAGGGACCGCCCGCTGGCTTACCTGCGGCGGAGAGCCACCGAGCTCCACAAGTTGCAGTCCCGCCTCCTGGCGCCGGCCCGGCTGCCAGATCGCTGCTCCCGCGGCGGTCGCCCCGCGCCCTAGGCGGCGACAGGAGCCCGGGACGGAGCACAGCGCCGGGCTGACATCACCGCCGCCCAGGTGCCGCCTCCCCTCGGTCCTCCCCGGCTCTCCCCGCCGCGCTCCGCCCCGCCCCGCCCCCGGCGGGAACCAGCCCCAGGGGCGGAGGGGCGTGGCCTCGCGCCCGCGGCCCGCTGATTGGCCCGGCTCGCGGTCACTCCGAGGCGCCGCCGGGTTCTCCCGCATTCCTGGCGGAGCCCGGCGGAGCTGGAAGTGGGCGTCGGTGGGAAGCGTGGCCGCACGGGCTGCGGTCCGCCGGGGCGGGGAGAGAGGAGGGCGGAGGAGAGCCGTGGGGTCGGGTCGGGTCGCGGCTTCTCCCGGGTCGGAAGCGCCGCTCACCCCGAGGGCCTCCCTTTTTAAGGCAGAGCCGCCTCTGTGTCCCGGACGGGGCGACGCGGCCGGCGGGAAGGGGAAAGCAAAGGCCCCGAAGGCCTCCGACCCCGCAGCGAGGGCCTCCGGGGGAAACTGAGGACTTGCGGAGACTGGGAGGACTGGGGGATCCCAGACGGGGCCACCCAAGCTCTGCGTGCTCAACCACGTGGTTGCTTTTGCATGTAGCCACAAAAATAAGTAAAACCTCACGTACCACGCAAGCTTTCAGACAAATAAAATGGACTCTCCAGGGGGAGCGGAAATTTTATTGTTTACATTTTGTTTTTGTTTTGAGACAAGATCTCAGTATATCCGCAAGGCTGATCTTAAAATTGTTATCCTCCCGCGTTGGCCTTCTAGTGCCTGGGATTGCAGGCCCACACTACCAAACCCAGCACTAACCTGTTTTTTAAAAAATTATTATTTTTGTTATTTTTTCCAGAAAGGATTCTCTGTGTTTTCCTGGCTGTCCTGAAAAACTCACTCTGTGCACCAGGAACAGAGATCTGTCTGTCTCTGCCACCTGAGTGCTGGGATTAAAGACGTGCGCCATCACGCCTGGCTATTATTATTTTTAATTAAGTGTAAGTATGTGTACGCGCATGGAGGCCAGAAGCCCTGGGTTTCACTGGCAGTTTTTGGCATTGGAGTGGCAACTGTGAGGTGTAGGAGCTGGGAACTGAACTCAGTGTTTCTATAAAAAAGCAGCAGAAGGGCTTAACTGTTTGGCCATCTCTCCAGCCCCTGCCCTAAACTTTCTAAGTACCATAGGGTTCTGTTTTGGTGCACAACTGGAAAGGGAGAACCCTCACAACTGACTTCAAACCTCATGATAATAATTACTGTTGAACCAATTGCAGTGACTGAGCTAACAATTAAGAATTAACTACTGTTTACTCTCCGGTGGATATCAGCGGTATATAATCCTCTTGGCTGCCAAGTCAGGAAGGTTCTCAGGAACCCATCTTTCAGTCCCCCGTCCCCCGTCCCCCCAGACCCAGGACAGAACGGAATGATGAGAAGTGGCTTTGTGTATAAGAATATGTACATAGGTGTCAAAGTATAGCCATCATCATCTAGACATACAATTAATTTCTATTGGCTTTTTGTGGGCTTTGGGGGTTTCCTGGGGAACGGAAGATGTTGGGTTTGTGTGTGTGTTGTCTGATTAATTTGATTTTTGTTTTTCTGTGTTTTGTTTGTTGAAGCTCTCCTGAACTCACTATGTAGCAAGTACTAACCTGGAACTCAGGAGCCTCCGCGCCACAAGTGCTGGAATTAAGGTGTGTGACAGGCGACTCTATTGTTTGTTCTTTGATTGATGGTATGTCCTACAGTCACCATTCCACCAAAACACGGGATGAACTCACAATGCCCATCATTGTGTCCCGTGTAATCTTCCCAGCCCACCTGTCCACGGGAAGTAAATTGATTTTAACATAAGGCCTCAGTCTCAGCAAGGTTCCCGGCTTCCTGTAACTGATCCAGAGGATCTGACGCCCTCTTCAGTCCTCCAAGGGTAGTACACTGTCGAATTATCTTGGGTCAAGAAAAAAACAGGCTAGCTAAAAGATGGACCAATTATATTTTTCTTTATTATAAGGGGCAAACTCACGAAACAGGAACGAGAAGTCCAAGCTCAGTTGTGTAGCGCGGGAACGGGGAGGGGGGACCTTGATTGGGCCGCCCCGGGTACCCAAAGGTCAGGTCTTAACCTGATCGCACCTCTTAAAGATCTTTGGCTGACAGAAATTCCCCATCCCTACAAACATGATGCACACATGATGCAGGCACACATAATTGGGGGCAAGACACATTTTAAAAAAAAAATAGCCTGATTGTTCACATTCCACACAATTTTAGGCACGCTGAAGCTGCAGGAATAGTCTAGGCTTGAGCCTGGGTGCTCAATCCCTCTGAGCTCAGCAAATAGAAGAGCGATACGGGGCTGGAGGATGGATCATGTCACTTCTTCCCCTCTTTGCATACAGTCTACTCCCAGATTATTTCTAGCCAGAAACATCAGCCATCTCCTAGTGGGTTTCCTCCTCTCCCTCCCTCATAACCATAGCCTCTCCCTCCCCTCCCCCTCCTCCACCTGCTAGTCACCCACTCAACCCCTAACTCCCTCCCGCATCTTCTAAACGTACTGCTCCACCTCCCTCGGCCACCCCAGTCCCCTTGTTCCTTCCCAGGTGCCCGCCCAGAAGCTTCCAGACACTCCTCCAGCCCTAGACTTGGGATGGCTGCTTCCGGACTCCCTGCTCTTCCAAAACCCACAGCCAGCCACAGGAGGGGGAGGGAACGTCCGCCCCCACAGAGATGGCAGGATAGAATAACAGGAAGTTGCCTCCCATTCCCTCTACAGCTGGAATGATAACAGCTGCTACCAAAGTCCAGAAAACAAAAGGCTCAGAAGGAAAGCTGGAAACAGAAAACCTGGAGCGACCGCGCTCAAACCCGGGGTTACAGAGAGTGGGGGAGGGGCGGGGGTGTGGATTTCAGCCTCTGTCTCTCCCTCCTTTCTACCAGAGCCCTACCTCTTAACTGTTCTATACTTGCACGTCACTTAAGAGTGACACTGAATTTTTGCAAACTAGCCTAGGGGCTGGAGAAACAGCTCAGCCTAAGAGCACCGGATGCTCTAACAGAGAACCAGGGTTCAATCTCCAGAACCACGTGTGGGCACACAACCTTCTGTAACTCCAGTCCAAGGGGGTCCAACACCCTCTTCTGGCCTCTGCAGCCACTACACTGTGCACAGACACGCACACAGGCAAGACCCCCATACACGCAGAATAAAAATAAAATAAAAAGTTGGCCTGCTAATTAACATGGAAGCCACTGGCCTCTGTGTATGCTGGGAAAACATCAGTCAGGACACCGCACATGGAAGCCACTGGCCTCTGCGTATCCTGGGAAAACATCAGTCAGGACACTGCACAGAAGAAAACAGGATGGTGAGGGTCAAAGACAACCTCATCTCTGTCACGGATCATCTCTGGCTTATGGGAATATCCCTGTGTGATGTCTTCTCTGGCATGGGAACGCCCCCATGTGATGCCTGTGGATCCCCACTAACTCTGTAGGCCACATGACTATGTCCTATCTAGTCACTCCAACGCTGAGCCTCACAAACTTTGCCAGGTACTGTCATTATGTTGGGGATACAACCAGAAGAGACTAGGGAAAGCAGAAGAAAGGGTAAAGTTGGATCCTACGGGAACCCTAAATATCACATAACACAACTTCATGTTGGTAGAAGCCCTTCTACGGCGATGTTGCCCACAGGAGGAGCAGCACAGGAACCAGGAAAGCAGCCACCATGAGGACCTTCAATCCGCTGCACCAGATCCTGGTTTTCACACTTTCCTCCCCAAAAGCCCCTACCATGTGTCCTCCAGTAATCCTAAACTGTCCATGAGATGGATGTGCTGGTTTTTGTAAAGATTTATTTTATGTACACTTACACCTGCTGAATTTAGCATGCCCTCAGAAGCCAGAAGAGGGGACCTCCTGAACTGGAGTTACGGACGATCATGAGTCACCTTGTAGGTTCCAGGAACCAGGTCTGTGTTCAGGTGGAAGTTCCATCCCGCCCTGCAGGAGTAGCAAGTGCTCTTACCCAGAGCCCCAGGCTGTCAGTGCTGGGCTGACATACAGAACGAAAAGGCATAAGCAGGATTTGAAGTGTAGGCCACTACAACACCCAGACCAACCTAGAACCCCACTGGGCCTTCTCTCCAGCCACTGAATAATGCCTGCACTTCCTACCCTGTTGTGGACAAGGTCTTTAGAAGTTCAGTAACAACCTGACCAAACTGTCCCCAGAGGATTGTGGAGTCCCCAGCTGTTTTCAATCACATGGCCAACCCACAATGCGCCAGACAGACAGTGAAAACCATGAGTCAAAACCAAACAAAGCAAGCTTGGTTTTCGAATTCCTTCAGGGGGAAGTGCTGTTGTTCCATCTGCCCATCAGCATGGCATTTGGTGACAACACAGACACCATCTCAATTGAGACACTATTTAGCTGGTACTATGAACATCGTTTGTGAATCCAGCCCCTCTGTTCCCATAGAACCAGGTCAGCGATACTCAAATACTTTGTCCCGAGGTGAGTCTTTTTCTCTAGTCATCCGTCCTCCAGATAAATCTGAAAACCCAGGCACATTCAATTTAACCATTATTCATTCGCTTCTGAGTTGAAGGAGGCATTCTTAATTAAAAATAAGAATCATCACCTTTCACAGCCCTTGATTAATGATGAGATTCAGCAAATTCCCTTAAGTAATCGTACTATAAATTTAATTAAATTATTTTTAGTTTAATATTAGATAGTAGTGTGCATCTATAATCTCAACCACTCCAGAGACTGAGGCAGGAGGATTGTTAAAGTCCTGGAACCTGAGTCCAACTTGGGCAACACCACAAAACCCTATCTGAAATGGCTGGCTAACTGGGTTATTCTGAGGAGACCCCCTGGATAGACCAGGATAGACCCACCCTGGGTAAACCCCCAGCTTTTCAATACATAGGTGCACTCCTGTTTCTTGTCTGTAGCAGCGACCTCACAGCCTCTATCCCCAGCGGACCAAGCCTTTCCCAAGCCGTCAGGCCTTTGTAGGATTCACAGGTCATGCTCATCTTTCTGCTTAACACATCCTATGCAGAGAG